GCTTGTATTCGTACTAGCTATCATCATTTCTACATTAACCATTAAATGCTATTTTTTTCTTGATGGATTTAAATTAGAACAACAGCACTGTTACTTAAACTGATTATCTGAAAACACAATATAAAAAATTGTTACTTATTTCTAAGGTGCTTGCAGGATGTATATGTCTTGGTATCATTTGCATGAGCATATTTGGTTTAAGCATTATTTCTTTTTTTTCTTCATTAAACTTTCTATGATTTCTTATATGACTGAACAGATAACAGCTAAAGCTTAGGTTTAAAAAAATTGTCTACAATAATTGATCACTCAATCCAGAATAAAATCATTGTTGAACACTCCCTTGCACATTTGATCCCCATTCTATCAATATCTTGGGCTTTTCGGTAAAGATGAGTAAGAACGTAAAATTAGTTACATGTATTAACGAACACCACTTCTAGAATGTGCTATAAGCCACTGCAACGTTATATCAATATTGTCTTTCTCTTTGCATGAAATGCTATAGCAACAGATCTCACGATCTTGAATGGCTGACAAGTTCCTGAAAAACGAAAAGTATTCATGTAACGCATATGTATTATTTGGCTTATTGTTAATATGTCTTCCTAAATATAAACATACATTCTTTCTATAAGTCCATTTTCATCCAAAGCATGAGGTAAATCCCTTTTGTTACCAAGAACCAGAACTGGTATACCACATAACTGAGGTTTATCTAACAGATTGTGTAATTCATTGCGGCTTGCTTCAATTTTTTCAGAATCAGCTGCGTCTACCATATATACTATTGCGTTCACTCCTCTACAATATCTTTCCCACATGGATCTAAACCTTGGTTGACCTCCAATATCCCATACTTTTATAGTCACATTGCCTTTTGTTATTTTACGCATATTAAAGCCAACAGTTGGGATCATATCCTCACTGAACTGTCCTGACTGAAACAGAATATATTTGATGAGAAACAGATTTTTGTTTCATTACAAAATAAACAAGTGTTTTAAAACAATAGATTCATTGCTGCAAAAAGTCAGGTGTCCAATTTTTTTTTATTGCTCATGATCTTAATTTATTTAAAATTAAACAAAAAAAAGATGATAATAATCGAATTTCTTCTCCAAAAAATTATTGCAAAAATATGTTAATAACTATTAAATACATTACATTAGGGCGGATGCAAGATTTACATCAGTGAGAAAGTTATCTCGAATGAAATATAGAATCTAACCAATACGGTGCACGCTTTATTTTTTTATCATAGTAAAACGCAAACGTTTCGTGATTTTCAAACGGACATTCACCGGTGCGTTTTATTTAATTAATTCGAGAGCAAAAACACCGATTGTTAAATAGGTGATTGTTAAGGAACAGAAGCAAATTTTCTCACCGCTATAACATTTACGAAGGTGGTTTTCCCACTGTACTGCAAGCCAACAAGGGTGAGTTCCATCTCTTCCTTCCAAAAGAGGGATTTAAACCAATCCAAAATCCGGTTGATGAGAGCCAACATTTTTGATTAATCGGAGGAAACGCAGCTCCACCGGTAGAAAGTAACACTTAAAATACGCCGCTCACTGACTTTGACATGTAGTCATTTGCACTCGAGTACGTCAGTCCGTCAGCTCCAAAGGTATGTACCGCGCTAGTCAGTGGCTGGCGCTGACTAATCGCGCGGTACCCACTGTCTGTAATGAGTCACAAGATGCTTACACACGAATTTATCTTATGAAAAAGTAATATCTCCCACGCTGAATAAGCTTATTGTGGGTGATAGTGGATAGTGGACAAACGATCTTGACAGTTCGGGCATTGACGTGCAGCAGAAGACGGTTGCAGCGATTCTCAACCAGATGTTACTCAGACTTTGATATTTCGGTCAATTAATAATTTACTGATCGGGATATGTTGGCGACCTCTGTTTCGTTTTCCACAAGTATGATGGTTTATCGTACTTACGTACGCGTGTTTATGCATGTATCTTTGCTAGAAAGAGAAAGAGAAAGAGATTTTTGATAACGTAAGAATTCGTACGAAAAATTTGCAATATGAGCGAAAATTTAAATATACATTTGGAATTGTTTATGTAATTGAAAGATTAACTCTGTGGCAATCGTTTCAGTTTGTAGTACTGTATGTATCTTCTGTTATTTTATATCGTTGATGAAACTCGATTTGATTATCCATATAAATTCTAAGAAACGAAACGAAAATATTGCAGCGAAATGGTTGCGGTAGTTGATTCGCGACGGTTTCAAGTTACTACGTAACTATGGCGTTAATGGTTCTCAGTTCTTGATCTTTTCCATCTGGGAAAAATTATATTTTATTTTTCTGTCTTTTTAACTGTTAGTTTCAATTATTATTATTATTATAACGTCAATGATGTTATAAGTTATGTTAATTGTAAGTTGTAAATTATCAGCGTACCGATTGATTTAAGTTCTGTAATATACATATATTGATTGAGAACTACTGCTTAAGCGACAGAAAATTATTACGAATGCATCGCATACCTGTATCAATGTGTTTAAATGTTGAAAAGAAATTATTCTTTCTTATTGTCTGGTAATTTATACCTACGTGCTGTGTATATATATATCTTTCAATCAATTTGTTTTCACAGTTTTTAATCGTATCAATATCGATGTTAATCTTTTTATTCAATTGCTTCATGCACCACTGACTATATATGGGACTATATACAGCTATTTAATGATTACGTAGGGAATATTACAGATTCTTCTTTTTACCTATGTATAAGAAACAATGATATAGAAATACGTTAGAATGTTATACATAGAATGATTAATTATGTACAATTCGAAGAATAATTCCAAGTTTTAAATATGTTACACTTATCACTACTTGTGTTTAATTTCACGCTTAATATTTGTCTGGATCTACTTATATATATTGTATTTTTTCCATCAAATAATTTACAATATTTTTCATAATTTTCAGAAACGATAAATTTTCTCGTAAAATTAAAATATGATTAATAAAATAAGTATATATATATATATATATATATATATATATATATGTATATATACTTATACACACATATATAGTATATTTGAGCAATATTCTCTCGTTTTTTTAATTAGATGAATATTTTGTAATTTTTTTTATAACATTAACAAAACATTTGTAACAAATTAATTGGTATCTTTGCATGTTACGGTCTTTTTGTAGAAAAGAAATAATTTTTTGAAAAAGGACAATTTTTCTTAGAAAAAAAAAAAAGAAAGAAACTTGAGAGATATTCGTTATTTCTGTGTACAGAAATCATTCTACAAATATTATATATGTACATGGCCGCGATTACAAAATCATTAGTCTCGGTGAAGATCCTTTTTTACACGGTTTCTTTTTTTTTTTTAACAACTTTTTATTAATATCTAGATATAGATTCTTATATAAATTATCATTATGCGCACAGTTAATTTATGTTACTTGTTTTTAATTTTCTTTCTTCTTTTCGACGTTTTCTTCAATTCTTCGATCTTACATTCGCGTGCCACATTACGTGTTGTTCAAATTCTTTCCTCTATTTTTCCTTTCCTCACAACAATACAAAACTATCCTATCTATGTACAGGGTATACGAAACGTGCAAAGCGAACGAAACACAAAGTGGACATTTCGTGCAAACCAGTCGTATCATCATACTATCCGATTTTATCTGTGGTACAAAGTTCGGGAATTATATTTTAATCGCTGTAATTTTTGGGCAAAAGAAATGTACAAAGAGTCTCTCAAACGTACAAACTGCGGTTCGATAAGAATGTTGCATCGTGCAAATATTGCGAGGCACGCAAAAATTCTATAGACAGAGAAAACGTTGGATCATGCGATACACGAGCGATATTCGTCACACATCTGTTGGCTTACAAGCATTCGCTTAGAAAAATAGAAGTATCGTTAATATTAGAATATTATTTGTGCGGAATTCGGGAACTTGATCTTCACGCTAGAAAATATAAACGTTCGTAGATTTTTCTTACTTCTCTAACAATAATTTCAACAACTGTGATGTTGGAAAAATTTGATCAACGATTTAATCCTATATAATTTCACGTATTTACGTACAAAAAAAACGATAGAAAACCCCCTTGATTAATTCGGCTTGTTTGACGACGCGTTTCGAGTTTGAAACCTTAATGTCTAGATCACAAGTGATGCGACGAAATATTTTGGTAATCACAGCTTCGACGCCAGCGACCGTGTTACAAAACGAAACGCGATCCCTTGCTTCTGGATTTTCGCCGATCACCTCGCTGTTTATTGAGCTTTGAATGACCATTGCGCGTAATTATCAGAACATTCTAGATATTAAGGCACATCAGTTTGCTCGCAAGGCACGGATGACGTTGCTCTCTTGTCCCTTCGATGATTGAACGTTCGGTAAAATCAAAAACGTGAGTTTCCTTAGCTTTGCGCGGCTTCGCGATGCCTATAATAATACATATCGGCATAAAAGCCAATCAGTGAAAAATCTCAAATATACAACATCGGTTATTTATTCTCGACTAAATTAATGTTCTTCTCAATCATCCTTATCGTCGATTAGTAGTCATTCTTATAGCTTAAACAATTAGTTTTGTACACTCTCTCGATTTATTGCTTCGTATATAATACATTCTTTCCTTACAGTTTCACACAATTTCCTTACAGTTTCTTTTCTCTTCTCCTCTTTTTTTTTTTTTTTCTCTTTTAATTTCAGCTGAATGGCTTTTGAGTCGAACATATCAAATCGATGATGTATTTTATGTACAATGCTGAACATGTTACACTGTGCGTACAATTGCCGCGTATGTAAAGTATCGCTCGAAATCGAATGTGTATACATATCGACGATTTATTTATGTTGGAATGAGAGTAACTTTTACGTGTTTATAATGTGCAGGCTTTTGCTTGCGAAGAGGAAATATTCGCAAAATATATCTTAAATTACAATGATTAAAAAAAAAAAACTTGGCATTTTGCGAAATACAATTCTGTATTATATCTAGGATGAGTCGTGTAACGTTGCGATTGAAAGATTCTTTCCTTAGGTTTTTAACAATAGGAGAAAATGCCAGTGCATTTTTTGGTCAGGATCTCGAGAAAGAAATTTTCCTTGTCACGATACTCGCCAAATATTTTTCTTCCTTTAATCATTTCTTCGTACTATTAAAATCTGACGGGAGAAATTTTTTGGTTTTAACGTTAACTGACTCACCCTGTATACGGACATGAGTTTAAGCCCAGTTTCCAGAGCGTTTATGTAACCGTGAAACTTTGTAGGAAAGTGTACGGACTGTGTGCCACAGATCGTTCCAATTAAGGTCACAAGTTCTCGAATAGGTAATGAAGTATGAATTTCCTAATACTCGCGGGATCCTGATAAAATGCAAAAGAGATCTTCCCGAATTACGTAATAAAATAACGGTCGGTGGCATTGTTACGTAATTGAATCCAAGACTCACCGTTAACTGTCTTATATAATTCCTTGTTTTTATATAATCTTAGAGCCGCGCGTAAACCGATGACAGTAAAAACATTTCGCAAGTAGCTATCGTCCTGGCTGGTTTGAAAATTATGTAAATCGAAAAATTGATTTTTCAACAATGTCTGTTCTAACGAAAGGAACGGCCCCCAACAAAAGCCGGAGTCGGACAATTTCAGCTGGTTTCGGGAGAGGTGAGAGGCATTCTTTACCTCTCTCTCAACGGGCACGAACGCGCGTATTGCGAGGAACATAGTAATTTCGCTACTATGTACTTGATAAAAAAAAAAAAACAATTATTCCACAATTACTGTTGTGCATCGTGATACGGCGATGAATTACCGTGACCGGTAACGCAATGACGATGCAAATTATGCACTGAAATTCTTACGTAATTTCGTTCATGTATATTTCTGTTCCACCGCGATCTTATCAGGATTTGTTAATGCAATTCAGTTTGGTATTTAACGTGTTCGCGAAATACAATCAGACGAATGGCAGCGCAACAGTTTCCATGCTTCGCGCGTACTCGACCGACCCGCCCGAGCGGCGGGAGAGCGGCGGATTCGACGGCGAGTTAACGTTTGTCGGTCGTGGCAGGTGTACGTACAGCGAACCGAAGAAGGATCACGAATACCTGAATGCGCGAGGCCAGGGATCCGTGACATTGAGTCGCAACACATCCGGGAGTACCTCTGTACTATATACGTTGGCTTCGTATCATCACTCTTTCTATCCTCTCACTTTCTATCCCCTTTCACGAATACCTACAACAACGCTATACAACAACGCGGCCGCGATGCAACGCAGTAATTTTAGAACTCTCCGATGTTCTCTCCGGCTGGATCTCGAACGGATCGCCGGACCGGAAGGGAATGAGAAAAAAGCCCGGATGCGACTCGTGGAATTCGATGGAAAAAGACGAGATGAATTGATGTAGGCTACGACGTAGCGTGATCGGGTCACTCGGTCGTCGTGTACGATTTCCGAAGGTTCAGCTCCGACGCGGCCAGGCTGTCGCCTTTCACGTAATAATCGGCCGCGTCCCTTCTTCCAGACGAATTGCCGTTTGCTCTGTTCGTCGTTACACCGTTCGACTGATGACACTCCTGGTGATCCTTCTTCACGCCGTTCGCCACTGGTTTCCTCTTCTGCTGGTAGCACTGCTGGTAAAATTCGTTGAACAGGAAGAAGAACATGGTCGCGTGAAGGCCGATCCACCAGACGAACGCCTTCGGGTAGTTGCAGTCGATGAAGAGCAGTTGAAACGCGTGGATCATCACCGCGACGAACTGTATCATTTGGAAGACGGTCAGGTATTTCTTCCACCAGAGGTACGGCTGCAGTTTCGGGCCCATCGCGGCCAGCATGTAGTACGTGTACATTACGATGTGAACGAACGTGTTCAGCAGTCCGAAGAAAGTCGAGTGACCACCTGAAAGGAAAGACGATGCATACGGTAGAAAATATTTCTCTTTTTCTTTCTTTTCATTGTTTTTTACGTAATACGAACATGAATATCTGCCTTACCCGGTGTAAATTTAACGCCAAACCATACCGACATTGGCATGCAACCATGGTGAATAACGTGTAACGTCGACACGTGATCGTTCTTCTTCCTTAATACGAAGAAGATCTACAAATAACAAGAAGGAAACGGCGAATGCGTGATTATTATCGATAATTGAACTTGGCTGAATTTACTTCGATACTTACCGTGTCCATGAATTCCGTAAATTTGGAAAAGTAATACCACCAACAAGCGTGCACCATCTGCGCTTTGGAAAATATCGATTAGATAATTCCTTTTAACGTTGCTCGCGGTACAACGAACATGAGAAGAGAAGCAAATCCTTGGAGATACAGGAATTATATATATATATACTTCTAATGATGAAAGATTATGCAACGAAGAAAGAAGAAGAAAAAAAAAAGTCGAAAAAAATTGCTATCGCTCGAAAGATTTGCCTTTTTTTTTGATAGAGAGTTGCGTTGATGAACAGTCGTAGCATTTTATTGCGCTTCTTTCTGTGTATCTGTAGTGATAGTTATCGAATGGTAAGCAGTAAGTAATATAATTGTCGTCGTGTGTATGGTGTCTGTTTTCGGATTTTTGTTCTCTACTCGTAATCTGTTAAGTGGCATTAATTGCATGAAGCGGTTGTTTCGAAGTGTGTTAGCTTGCTAAATTAACTACAATATTTTCAAATACTACAGGAAATTTAGTGGCATGTAGGCGGGGACGGCTATTATGTTACGTGAGTACAGAGTTGGGTAATATTAACAGGAAAGACTGAGACTCGATACAAAAAAAGAAAAAAAAAATGTCAAAATTTTCAATTGCGTCCAGTCAATTATTTCGAATGCTATTGGTAAAAAAAAAAAGAAAAAAAAAAATACTTAAAAGAACGTAGCTGTACTCGACACAGAACTTACAAATTTGAATCTTGAGGAAAGAGATGCCGAAACTGTGCACTTTCTCGAGTCTTTTTAACTTTTTGGATTTTTGAATTGCAGCAAGAAAAAAAAAAATATTTGCCAACATTTGTTACATCCTCAGATGCGAAAATTTACATTACGAATTTATTTATTCGTGCAAAAATTTCATCTTTGAAATATCTACCAAAAAAAAAAAAAAAAAAAAAAAGAAAAAGTTGGTCTTGTTGGTATTCTCGATGTAGAATTCACAGTTTTAATTGTGTGACTAACTGATTGTGCGAAAATTGTATTTGACTTGGTGTGATGCGTTTCTCATGTTAATGGGGAATATCACCCACCCTTAGTACTTGGGGTCGATCACTGTAGTCTACGGGTTGGCACCTTAGAGAATAGTCGCCAGTCAGCCATCCGGACATTCCTATCTGCAACCACAACCGCCCAGAGGCCATTCTCCGATCAATGAAAAGAATAAATAAACGAAAGAGAAAGGCATAGAAAAGAAAGGGGCGCGCGTGTGCATATTCACAGAGAAAGATCTAATCGTTGGTATTAATAATGGAAACGCGTGTGTGTTAATTTAGGCCGAGCGTCTTCGTCCATGCCCCTGCAACTCCGAATTCTTACCTATTTCTATTTTCGTTAATCTTTCTCCACCGCGGCAAGGGACTTTCCTTGAAGTGGAAGAGAATTTACATGAAAGTTACAGACAACTGTTGCGAAATCGTTAATCGGTCAGTCGGTTTGATCTTTCCTTGATCTATCAACTTTCAGGCATTACAAGATATTAGCGCGGAAGAAAAGTTCGTTTCGGACTGGCATGCAGGCACATTCCAACGTACAATTAGCACAGAAACACGGGCTATATAGTTGTATTGTATTGCACGGAGCTGCAAGGTACGGAGAAGCAAATATAGAGATGCAAAATACACGATAAAACAAGCCACAAGCTAGCCTATAAGTACAGTTTAACTCCTCTCTCACAGGTGGTTCCTTCCCCCTGGTCGACTGCCTACAAAGCATAAGATATATTCTGCATTATAGCACAGTTCCACAGTTTCTACGATATACAAGGCCTTTGAAAACGCGAAAAAAAAACGTTCTATCGTCAATAATATGCGTATACGTTTGTTACAGTGCATCGTAAAGAAGTTAGACTTGAGGATGTGGAGGATCATTTTCCCTTTTTTTTTTTTACATAGCGGTTGCAGAAAGTACTTGCACCTCATCGTATCTACATTATAACATTACTCATATATATATTTATATATATTACTTATTTATATGTTGGCACCAAGTGTATTAAATTTCACGTCCAACGAAACCAGTGCTTTCATGCTTGAGCGTTGACACAAAAATTTGAAATATCATGAAAAGAAATGAAATACAGAGGTCGAAAACACTTTCTGCAAAACCACTGTAAAAATAAACTCGTACGTATACGCATATCGAAAAAATCGTTGAACGATCAAATTTGGCATTCGTGGAGGTCCGTCTCGTTGGAATGGAGGTCCGTTTTTGATGATCCATCTGCAGAGAAAAAATTACGTATAACAAAACTTACCCTCAACGCGGTTGGGTTGTTGCTATAGTCCACGGGTTGGCAACGGAAACTATATTGGCCCCACCATCCGCCCATCAGACTCTGTTGTTTTGTTCGTTTGAAAATTAATCTTTTATTTTGCGCTCTTTTCTGCATCTTGATCGAAAGCATAATCCGATCGAGTTCGAGATGTGATTGCACGACGATTACGCGACCGTTGCGAAACTATCGCCACGAAGAGAATATGAATTTATTAGACGTTTCGTTTCTTTAGCGACCGACGAATCGTTTGATCATCGTTTGATCATCGAAGCGATTCAACCCTCTGATAGGCGGAATGTCTTTCTTCATTGACAAACGCGTCACGAGTAAGAGTTTTATCGCAGTCGATCGTTTCGCAAATACTATAATTAAGCTCTGTCACTGATATGATCGGTGAGATCGCGATCTCGAACTCAATCAATTAGTCGGACGTTCGATGTTCTTGCAGAAATCGTTCGTCTCTTCGTACAGACACGGGTGTCTGGTTCCTCGTCGCATCGTTCTCGAATGTACACACGTGTGTGTGTGCGTGTGTACATACGGGTCGACACGTCGATTATGCGAGCGTTATGTACAATGCCCGTGCAATCTCAGGCTCGTGCATGCAAACGGATACGTTTTTGAATCGACAAAAATTCTTCGGGACGACACGTGTTCGATATATATTACAGGTATGCGAGTGGTAAGACAGAGTGAAGAGGAGGATGTGAAGCGGGGAGGGACACGCGAACGAAGCAGAAACGTTACCTCGTAGAACAGCCACGCTGAGAACATCACTTGGAACAGATTGTAAACTACCAAGGTGTTCTTCAACTGAAATGGTTTTCTATTCTCCATCAGCTTCGGGCCCAAGACTTTTACCACGTACACGTAGCTCAGACAGATGAACAGGGTGGGGAACGGTGAACTCATCATGAACCAGTTCGTTGTCCTCTGATCTGGAAAATGAGTGCAAGTTCAAACATCTGTCGATTGTTTGTTTTACTTGGTAGATATTAATCCTCATCCCAACTGTATCTCTCGTTTCAACTTGGCTCTGATAATTGACGTGGCGATAAAAAAATTAATTAAGGTCTACTGGTGGAATGATAAATAGTCAAATTTCGCGAATTCTTTGAAGAGAATGAGACCAACCTTTTATTAAATTGAGTATAAGATTCACACATCTTAGATCTTATTCTCGTAGATTTTCATGAATCTGTGATCGTGTATTTGTATAATTTTTAATTCAAAAGTTATACTATATATGTTCAAAACTATAAATGCCTACATACGCATGTTCGAGAAGGTAGTTCATTAAATGTAGCATATAATAATTATAGTACGATAATTAGGAGATATTGCAGCTTATAAGAGCTTCCTTAAGGGACTTGAAAACAAATATTTATTTCTAACTCTTGAAATAGGTAATTTTGTCATTAGAAATGTTAAGAATACGCGCTCCATGTTAGAAAATAACGTAATATTTCAGGGAACGTACGAGAGTTAATAGCACAAGAAAAAAAAAAAAAAAGAAGCGTAATCATCATAGGAAATTAATGTTCGGTTGGTCGCAGCTAATATTTCGTGGCCAGTTGCCTTGACGAAGCATTGACGTATCAGACGCAACCTTGAGATTCTTCACGCGATATCCTTCTGTACCTTCGCGTCCTTCGAAAGTTCAATCAACTATCGTATCATCGTTTGCCATTAAAACCAGTTGTAAAATGCTGGCGTTTCGTCGACTGGTCCTTTGCCGGTTTTTTAACGATCAGTCGACCTTGCTGCTGCCGCCACAACAGCGATTCACGCTGTTCGGTATTTTATCGACGTGAAAAGAAAAAAACGTTTCGATCGTGACATTTCGTTGGCGAGGAATTTCCGAAATTGAAAGTCACCCAAGACGAAGCGAAAAATACGATCGTCTCCCATCTGCACGTTTCTGCGCCGCAGAAGCTTGAAAATGTTCCACGAAACTGGTGGTTGCTCTCCTTGGTGGTTGCGTGAAGTGAATAATTCATTTTTCTCTTTTCTTCTTTTTCCTACAGACTGCCACTGCATCGCGACGAACGATGTTTGCTTAATCATAATGACATTCTACCTTGGTTAATTCTATCCTTTCATTCCGCTCGCGCCGTGGAGTCGAAAATCTCCAGTCTCGTGCTTCCTCGTTCGTGCCGGAGTTTCTTCAGCAAGAGAAGAGATCAAAACTCGTTCGATCTTAATCTTCTGTTCATCGGTTCGTCGTTGGGAGAGGTTTGTTTAAAAAGGGACAAATAAGAGAAGGAAAGGACAGAGTGTTCTCAAACTTTCTTGAGACATGCGTTAATAAATAAATAAGAGTTACAAGTGGTTACACGCAGGAGGTTTCTCTTTCGCTTTTTAGGAAAGCGTTGCCAAGTTGAAGAATATATACCCGCGTAGGGAGAAACGACGTGCGGAATTCTTGAATTCCCTATCGCGTATTTGATTTCCATGAAATTTCCAACAGACATTGAATGAAGCGTCATTTCTTTTTTTTTTCTTTTGACATTTAATCCACGTTAAAATTTCGACGATTATGTACCAACAAATAGACTCTAGACGAGAGTCAGAGATCTGTGAGAACGAACACGCGCAGCTGCAGCTAAGAAACAGCGAAAGTCGGGTTATGAAAGTTGTCGGTGTTTTAGTTAAAACGCGGAATATTTGGCATTTGACTATTCCGCGATAGATTCTTTCGTCTCGCGATAATTTCCTACCCATTCTCATTTGAATAGACACCTACGATTTTTGCTCGCCTACGAAAATTTTCGTGCAGGGAAATGTAATTTCAGTGAAAATGAAATTCCTGCCGACGTAATTGCTGGCAAAGAACAAAAAATTTTTTTCTTCTTCTCTTTTCTTAACACGAAAAGTTTAAAAGACTCTTTTTGAAAGCTCAACTTTTTTATTATTTTCGCATTAAGTCGATGTTATCTTCGTGCAACGTGACCACGTCAAATGATGTCACGTATTACGTTTCGTTCGCTTGCTCGAACAATTGTTTGCTTATACCATTTACGTACATTAATACTTGTTGCGTTATTGGGAACTCAGTATTAATGTTATCTTTCTCATTTGTATAAAATTGTATGCTGTCATTCGCGTCACACACAGAAATTAACATTACCATGTAGTTTTCGTGGCATTTAAAATTTTGTGCATTATTCGTAACGACCTTGCGTTTCGTTGCAAATTACACTGCATCTTCAATGAACGTTACTTTAAAGAGTAGTAAAACCCTTAAGAAGTTCGTGCAATCGGTTTTCCATCTCAGTTTTACTTCAACCATCGTATTTGTAATAAATTTTAACGATTGAACAGTTACATATATACTGCATCTCTTTGGCTCTTCACTTTCCTACTTTCACTTTGGCAAAAGTATGTTTTATGCAATTAAAAATATAAGAGAAATATTTGATAGAAATTTCATCGTTTAGGGCTTGATATTATCATTTGCCATGATTTCTCCTTTTCCCTTTTCTTTTAAATGAAACGAAATACTTCGCTGCGACGTGACCTGAAACGCTGTTGCAACATCTTTGTCAACCGTAGCAATTATGCTTTTAAACACGAAGCGCTCGATGAAAAAAAGGAAAGAGTGAAAGAAGAATCGCCAAGAAACGAGATTTCGACTAAAATCTCTTTTCAATAAGATCGTCGTGTCCAGAATCGAAAAAAAGAAAAGAAAAAATCGAACTTTTAGTAGGAACACTCCGCGTTCCATCGAAATTCACTTCGGCAGGCACTGGCCACGAATTTCGATTAGCCGCAAACGAACGCCGGCTTAGACCAAGGTGAAAAGCGAAACGAAAGCAGAAAGACGAGAATCGGACGGAGGGAGAGGGCTCGGCCTTTCCTGTTCCTGCTTTTAATCAAATCGTTTCCAGTCACCGGCCCGGCGATCGTCCCTGAGATGTTTCTCAATGTTTAAGCACCGTTCACAAGGAATTCTCCTCGAAACGACGAGAAGAATCCAGAAGACCCGCATGTATGTGCATGTATATTCGTTGAAATACTCACCTGCATTTCAACAGTTTCTGTCTGGAACAGATACTGAGTGAAGAAGGCGGGAAAGAAGGCGGTAAAATGGCTTGGGCGAATAGAAAGGAGAAAGAAAGATAAAGAGAGACAAGGGGAAGAGTGAAGAAGAGATAAGACAGGACTCTAAAAAGAGAAGAGCAACAAATAGCATAGTTAAGGTAATAGATATAAGTATAGGATAAAGCAAATAGGATACAAATGTTATGTCAAATATTATAATATTAAATATTATAATATTAATATTTATAATATTTAATATTTATAAATATTATAATATTAAATATTATAATATTTAAATATTATAAAGCAAATAGGATACAAATGTTATGTTAAATATTATAATATGTGTAATATCCCCTACTTTTACATATTATAATATTATAATATGTAAAAGTAGGGGATAAGTGCAATGTAAAATCAAAGTCAATTTCAAGGCCAGGAAGGCTGAAATAAAAATATACTACTACTCACCTGCATTTTTGTCAAGTATCTCATGTAGCCGGTCTACGTACTGCATTACAATCGACATTTTGCTCGCTTATTCGAGAGAACTTTCTGGCAACGTATATCCTCCTGCTGAGGTTCAAATCAAGGGCGCGGATATATTTCACAACTCGATCCACTGGTTTCTGAAACAATCAGAGAACGAAAGGGTCATTGTCGTCGGGGGAAGAAGGTCAATTTCGAGAATCGAATTGAAACAACGGAACGGCCTTCGGTATTTCTTTTTTTTTCCTTCGTTCGTAAAAAAAATACTCGAGGCGAGGAAAATAAGAGCGTGCAGGAAGTGCATTTCCTCTTCGGGCACGCGCGCGCGAACGACCTTTGCGGTTATTATTTATTTATTTCTTTTCGACGAAAGGAATAAATCGTTCATTTCCCGTGTTTTGGTAACTTGGCCGCCGTATTTATTATCGTTTCAAAAACCGACGGCGCGTTCGCGCTGAGATTCGAGGCGAGAAAGAAAGAAGAGAAAATTGCCGTCAAGGAGAATTTGAACGAGACTATGCGCGAATTCAACGCAATTCGAGCGAGGTTCTTTTGTTCCACGCGTGAACGAGGACGCGTGGTTACTTAACGTCCACCAACGTACAGATTGATCGGCCGGTTACATAAAATGTCGTCGATTTGTGTCATGATTTTCGGCGTCGTCGTTGAATTAGAAGCGATTTCGCGCGGTTCCTCGCCCGATCCGAAATTCACCGCGTACGCACGCCCGGTTACGAAAGTGAGGCCCACATAATTTCTGTTATGGATTACACGATCGTAGCACAGTCTCGCGCAATTCATGGGACGACCATGAATCGTCCACGGCCTTGAACCACTCTATGTTCACCATGGCTTCGCCCACTATGCTCTCGATCGGCCCAATTTCACTGGCGATCGTAGCCAAAATTTTCCCGATCAATTGTCCAACTGTGTTCGTGTATAAGAAATCTGATCTGGTTTTTTTTAAAAATTTCCACGGAATATCGTCGTAACTTAAATTTCGACTGTTGCTATGGAGTTTATGACAGAGGGCAGACTGTTTGGCGATATTTTATTAACAATGGAATTGGACTGTAACATTGTACGATTCCATTAAAAAAAAATGATGCTGATTATATAAGATGTATACTTCTTGATCTGTCGATATTTAAGAGTTAAAACGACAAATAAAATTGCAGCGATTCTCGATGAAATAACTCAAAGAGTTATAGAATATGAAGTAGACTTTCAGACGTAGAAGTTGTTTAAAAAAGAAAAGAGAAAAGAAATTATTGTTATTTATTCCAGTAGGATGACATTTCGAAAGCGCTGAAAAATAAAATGGCGCCGTGACAGGTTGCAAATGTCCACAGATTCCTATAAAGTATTATCCTGATTCAACGCAAATCGAAGAGATCAAAAAAATCGTCGAGAATGCGAGAATGAAAGTCGGAGAGAGAGAGAGAGAGAGAGAGAGAGAGAGAGAGAGAGAGAATAATATTCTTCTTATTTAACCTTTTCGCGGGCATTCGAAAGTTTTCAATTATACTTTGAAATTAACAACAATTGTTGCATTATTGCGCGAATATTCATTATCGTGGAGTTCATCATTCATTATCATTCATTATCATGGAGTTAATCGTTGGTGTAATCTCTGCTGAAAAAACCAAACTTGTCGTCATAATCATTTCTGATTCGAGCGAGAAATCGAGAGAACAACAATTAGTACAATATCCGCCGCGAAGTGTTAACAAGACCTCGTTTCTGAGAAAATTTGTCGAGTATATTTGAATCTAATTATTCCCAGATTAGACGGAGATGGGTGTAAAATTTCGAACAGAGGTTTCCTGATTTGAGACACGGGTTTTCAAGAAAATAGACTTTGATGTTTAATTAGGAATTAGCTTGGCACACGAGTGTTTGATAAAAAATTTTCAAACCGAATTTTCTCGGAAACGGAACACCTTACGAGGAAACTTTATTCTTCGTGTTTGACTTATTTTCACACGATCGTCGAACAACATCTCATCGATTATTCGTTCTTGCCAAGTCCAGAATTAATCGACTTCGCACATGACAAATTGTCAAGCTAGATTCCCTTCGAAAACGATGCTTTAAATTTTATTCTCTCTTGTTCTTATTATCTTCGCCGGTTACACGACATCCTGTAAGGTGTATATGGAACACCTTTCACTTTTAAACAACGTATGCATGCTATCTTTACAGACAGAATTTGGTCAGATCATCGAGTTTCAGTTCTCTGAACGAAGCACTCTTTTTGAAGCTGGTCCTCCATAACGCCACGTAACTCTGAGATCACATTTTTTCGATCCTAATTTTATTTTTAGCTACAATGGTGGTGAAAGTATCTTGTTCTGTTGCCTTTCTCTCGTAACCGAGCGGATTATTGTGTCGCTTGATTGTCAACTTTATTTACACATTAGAGAAATCAATCACAGTTTATCTCACGCTAGGGAGAATAAAATTTTTGAAATAAAATTCTCCCTTTGGGAATAAAAAATTTTTGAAAAATGTTACTCTGTGCCGGGAAGTGATTACATCGGCCTTAAACACTTAGGCGTTAACAGTTGTTAATTTTCATTTATCATAATTGTAAAAGGTTTTCAGCTACCTTATCCTTTTTTCATCCTAATAGCAATAACAATTGGATTGTTTCATACTTGTTAGAGTTTTTATGGACACGAGCAGCTAAATCATGCAAGAAACATTCATCAGTGTTTTTCTCCTCAATCTATGTAGCGTGTATCAGTGAACCGACAAGTTGAAAAAAATTTAATAACAAGCGTGTAAGAATCACGATTGTTGCAATTAGTAGAAACGATGTATTTTTTTTAATTATTAATTAAATGAATTTTTTTTAAATTTTAATTTTAACATACTACTGTAAAAATACTAATTTAATTTTAAATTTAAATTTTAATATAATACTGTAATTGCATCGGACTAAGAATCGAGTCGTCCTTCGCCGTTTCACAAGCTGGACAAACTTTTCTATCGAGTTCGTCTCTTCGCAGAGGGTTTCAAAAACGAAACGATTTTCACGAGCGAGCACGTACAATACATGAACAATGAGCGACGCGCAATAAGAACGTTCGTTAATTCATCGAAACGACTGTCCAGTGGCGGACGATTTGGAGGACACGGAAGAGGAGCGCGAGGAGGCGAGAAGGCGTAATTGTTTGTTCGTATGCCGTACGAATGCTAAGGATGATTAATCACGACCCTGAAAATCCAACTGGCCTACCTGACGATACTACGCTACTACGGTTCGCCCCCAACGCCTCCTGACAGTTTGGTAACCCGTTGAATTTCGCTTTCAATGCGTCTCGGCCGACGAGAGAATTCTCGCCAAGGCCAATCGAGAACGGGCTTGAATGGATGTCGTCATTTATCATCGGCCAGCCGGTCACCGATTTGTACACGGATGCGGAGTCTGCGAGTCTATTTCCGCCCTGCATCTTCCGTCTTTCTTCCCTCTCTCGCCGAACGAGAGGAAAAATACCAGAGAGGATCAAGATCTGCCTCGATGGTTTGGTGTCACGTCATGTCAGGCAATCTTGTAATCGACAAATATTGACCGCCAGCCAGGTGTTGGCGGATCATCTCCCGGACAAAGTCCTATTAGAAGTTTTCTTGCTCAAACGTCTCTCTCTCGTCGTCGATTTGCTCAAGTTGATCTTTAGTTGCTACATCGCCGGTTAGCGAGGCGTGGGACAAAGGTTTCGCACGATGCAAACGAGGCAATCATCGTTTGCGGGATAAGTTGTTAATCAATAGTGGAAGCGAAATTTATGTGAATTCACGCGACGACCAAGTGACTTGTAAAGTGACTTGTATCCTTGCGAAATATATAATCCTCGATTATTTTATTGTTTACTAAGTTTTAAATTAATAGTAACGGATGACCGTAGCAATTTGTTTTACGTTCTGCCTGATGGAGATCATTCGCTTCAGTTATTGTCATTCGTTTGTAATTTAATTATTATTTTTACTATTAATTTAATATTAATTATTTTTAATATTAATATAATATTAATTACTTTTAATATTAATTTAGTTGTAATCATTTGTATGTAATTTAATTACATATACATATAATCTAAAATACATAATAAATAGATTCTTAAACATTACTATAAAAAATATATAGTAATATATAGTAATATTTAAGAATAGAGATCATTCACTTCAGTTGTTATCATTCGTTTGTAATTTAATTATTATTTTTAATATTAATCTAATATTAATTATTTTTAATATTAATTTAGTTGTAATCATTCGTTTGTAATTTAATTACATATACATATAATCTAAAATATATAATAAATAGATTCTTAAACTTTACTATAAAAAATATATAATAATATTACTATAAAAAATATATAGTAATATTTAAGAATGGTGATCATTCACTTCAGTTGTTATCATTCGTTTGTAATTTAATTATTATTTTTAATATTAATTATTAATAATTTTTAATATTTAATAATTTAATATTAATTATTTTTAATACTAATTTAATATTAATTATTTTGAATATTAATCTAATATTAATTATTTTTAATATTAATCTAATATTAATTATTTTTAATATTAATCTAAAATTAATTATTTTTGATATTAATTTAGTTATTATCATTCGTTTGTAATTTAATTACATATACATATAATCTAAAATACATGATAAATAGATTCTTAAACTTTACTATAAAAAATATATAGTAATATTTAAGAATGGTGATCATTCATTTCAGTTGTTATCATTCGTTTGTAATTAATTTATTATTTTTAATATTAATTTAATATTAATTTAATATTAATTATTTTTAATATTAATTTAATATTAATTATTTTTAATATTAATCTAAAATTAATTATTTTTGATATTAATTTAGTTATTATCATTTGTTTGTAATTTAATTACATATACATATAATCTAAAATACATGATAAATAGATTCTTACTTTACTATAAAAAATATATAGTAATATTTAAGAATGATAATATTTAAGATGATCATTCACTTCAGTTGTTATCATTCGTTTGTAATTTATTTATTATTTTTAATATTAATCTAATATTAATTATTTTTGATATTAATTTAGTTATTATCATTCGTTTGTAATTTAATTACATATA